AAGTAGTAAAACTTCTAATAATTCTACAGAAAATGTAAGAGAACAATTTCTATATCAGAGCAGTGATACAGGTCCTTTTTGTGTATATATAGAAAATAATACTCCTGATTTTAAAGGTAAGATAAATGCTATCAAAATCGGTGATATTATACTGTCAAATTTTCCAAATTTAGATAACAAAATTACTAGTATTGATTCAATCGACAAGAATAGAATCAGAATTAAATTTAAAAACTATCAATCAGCCAATTTTTTAATCAATCACAAAACTTGTTCATTATTTACAAACAACAATTTTGATGTTTACGTTCCGAAGTTTATACTACATAGACAGGGAGATATAGATACTGAATTTTCTGAGGGATACATCAAAAATTAAATTAAACAATACGATATGCTCTGTAAGTTTGAAGTAGCTTCAGTTAAAAGAATAAATAGAAAGGTAGAAAAACATATCGAAGATAAAACAGTAATAGACAAGGTTCCAACCAAATCATGTATTGTAAATTTTAAAGCACAAACTCTTCCAAAATATATCATAATTAATAAAGTAATTAAAGAAGTCGAACCCTATGTTCAAAAAGTATGTTTCTCTTGCCTTCGTTTTGGACATCTTGGATCTCGATGCAAAGCACGTCCCAGGTGCAATAAATGTCATGATTTTCATAACACAAAAGATTGTACAGTAAATATACATACTCCTACCTGTTTGAGCTGTCAAGGTAGTCATTTTACGACACACCTAAGTGCATACTCTGAGTTTTTTAGCCAAAAACAAATCAAGAATACAATGTCATCATTAAATTTAAATTTCTTTGACGCCTGTAAACAAATACCGAAAAAATCATATGCCAATATCGCTGCTAGACATAATAGTTCTTCCTTGCAACCAACTCTAATACCAATGATCAGTCCTATCAAGTAACTCCAAATCAAACTGGTACGTTCGCAAAAAAGTTCTCTTCACAAATGTTTTATACCAGCAGTAGTCCAGAAAAATCAAATTTAAAACGACAACGGCCAAGTACTCCCGATCCTTTGGAATCAGCTAGGAAAGAAATAATTTCCTCAATAAATATCCCTAGACAAAAAGGTGGTATTTATAATACCTCTAAATATACAGAAAATAGAAATATGTACAACAAATTTGCAGACACAAGGAGTACCATTAGATTTAAATAATGTAATTTTAGAATTGGTTCTTAATTTAATTAGTTCATTAAAACTCACTGAAAATTTAGACGAATCAAAAACAGAGATTATACAACAAATTAATAAATACTTAAGTACGGCATCGATCTCGCAAGAAGACTTACATGAACAAACGTCATCTTCTCAGACATAACTAGTCCTATAAATTTTTTACAATGGACTGCCGCTCAGAAGTTTCTAATAAAAAAAAATTTAGAAGCCTTACTTATTCAAAAAAATGTGTATGTGGCCATGTTATCAGAAACATGGTTTAAACCAGGAATATTCTATAACTTCTGGTAATAATTGCTTTAGATCTGATCGCCCAGATGGCTATGGAGGTACAGCAATTTTAATTAATTAAAAGTAAAATAATTGCAGAAGAAATAAATTTATTAAATAACTATAATTTTACTTACACATGCATGGCTGTTAAACTTTCTTGTATCAATAAACCTATACATATAATATCCATATATAAAGAACCACGTATTAGAGTAACAGTTGAAGAATGGATCCATTTTTTTCAACACATTCCTCCGCCATTCATCATTGGAGGGGACTTCAACGCTCACAATATGGCATGGGGATGCGAAACTAGTGATACTCACGGTAAAGTTTTATTAGAGGCGATAGAACAATGTAATCTATTATACTTAAATGATGGTTCTCCAACTCTTGCCCTGAGTTCCAGTCCATCAGCAATCGACATAACAATTTGCACCCAGGACATTATATCTAAATTAACTTGGTCTGTTATTCAAGATCCACTTGGTTCTGATCATCTACCCTTGACCATCTCCCTAGAAAATCCCAAACAAGCAACTCCACCTGGTAACAATATACAAAAAAGATGGAATCTAAATAAAGCAAATTGGAATTTGTATTCATCCAACTTTTCTTCAGAAAAACTTCCTCAAACTTATGAGGAATTAGTTAATGAAATAAACAGATGTGCATCCATTGCTATTCCAAAAATATCAAAAAATAAAAAATATCCTACAGAAAAGATTCCAAAACCATGGTGGGATAATAACTGCAAAATAGCTGCAAATACCTGTAAAGCAGCCTATAGACGTTATAAAACAAATCCCAATATTCATAATTTAATTGAATACAAAAAATTGGATGCATTAGCAAAGAAAATTTTTAAAAATAGAAAAAAACAAAGTTGGATAAACTACTGCGAAAGTAACTCCCACAGTCCAATCAGCGACGTCTGGAAGAAAGTACATCGCTACAAAAACCGAAAACAGTCCAATCAACTCCCGATAAACTGCGAAGCTGCATGGATAGAAGATTTCCACTTGAAAATTTCACCTCCTTGGGTACCAAATCAAATAAACGAAGCTACAGTCACCATTTCCAGAGAATACTTCAATCGAGAAAAACCATTTGAATTGTGGGAATTAAATTATGGACTCAAACAAAATAATAGTTCGTCTCCAAGAATGGACTGTATATCATACTCTATGTTATATGTTTTACCCACAGAAAACAAATCATTATTATTACAAATTTTTAACAATATATGGCTAAATGAGAATTTAATTCCCAAAACATGGAAGGACTATATTGTACTGCCTATAAAGAAGCCAGGAAAGCCAGATAACAACATTGAGTTTTACAGACCTATATCTTTAAGTTCTTGTATACTAAAAACTCTAGAGAGATTAATCAAAAATCGGTTTGAATATTGGCTTGCATCCGAAGACATCCTTCCCAAATCTCAATATGGCTTCCAGAAATCCAGGTCTACACAGGATGCTCTCACTTCACTAGTTTCCTCTGCAGGTCAATTTCACAAATCAAGAATCAACAGCTGCAGCATTTATAGATGTAACCTCTGCATTTGATAATATAAATTTATATATTTTACATAAGAAATTGTTATATCTTGGAATTTCAGTTAAAATTTCAGATTTCATTATATCCTTGTACAAGAATAGATGGACTTACTTAAAAATAAATGAGACACTTAGCGCCAAGGCTAACGAATATAGGTATACCACAGGGTGGTATTTTAAGTCCACTTCTCTTTCATTGTACAATATAGGTCTAGAACAGATAGTACCTTCATACTCTAATAATCCATACTAACTTTGACATTTGTAGGCGTCAACTCGAATCTACACTAGATTGTATAAAAAATATTACCATTCTCTAGGCTTATCAATATCAACTACAAAGACTGAAATTTGTTTTTTTTTCCAAAAACGCCAAACTCCTCAAGGTAACTTTAAATTAGGAAAAATAGAATTTCAAATGAAAAATTGTGTAAAATATCCTTAAGAGCAGTTTGTAAAACCAGTTGGGGAGCTGACCCGAATATTGCATTGCTATTTTATCGCTCAATGATTCGACCAATTTTTGACTAAGTTGTCATTTATATGGGTCTGTGACAACAGGATATCTTAATAAAATTGAAACCCAAAAGAATAAATGTTTGAGGCTATGTCTTGGTTACTTAAAATCTACTTCTATTAGTATTATTGAAATTGAAACTAAAGAGATACCCCTTACACTACACAGACAGTTTTGTACAGATTAGTTTGTAGCTAGAGCTATATCAAAAAACTTCAGCTATTTAAAAAATATTCGTAACTTGAATATAATAGATTTAAGCCATAAATATTGGCGTAACAAAAAAACTCCCATATATGTTGAAAGTTATAGGAAATTGACAATATTTGAAGAACAATTGTATCGAAATAAAATACCACCAATTTATACACAACCTCCGAAGACTCTTTTCTCTACTTTGATCTCTAAGGTGTAAGGTGCATCATATGTAAATAATGCATGGGTACAAGGAAAAAAGTGTTGCCTTAAGTGATAACTTAAAGAGCCGCTGAAAAACTCTAAGGGGTTATATTCTTAGCATTATGGGTATACTCTCGTGTACCAAATGTTGACAACATTTTCTCTCAACTTATGGGAACAAACATGAACAATAAAGCAAAGGAAAAAAGATACAGTGTAGAAATATGTGATGATTCAGACTCTGGAAATAAAAACATAACTGGAATGAGCACAGTAGAGAAAGCACACTAGAGAGTAGTTTCAGACTCGTTTTCTATTCAAAAATATTGAGCTTTTGCCTCTGTCCTCGAGTTAGGCAGAACAGTCAAAACTGATAACACTAGACAGACACTAGGCAACACACTGGACTAGAGACCATACCGTGGGGTTCTGAGGAAAACTGGAGTGCAGTCAAAGAAGTGATCAATCAGGATAAAATCAAATAGACAAGTCATATAAATGGCAAAGCCCATATGGAATTCCATATTTCTACAGAAGAGAAATAAAATTCTTCTGTACAAAAAATTATGTAGGATACTACAGGCGAGGTTACAGCTGGGATACATAAAAATGGTATGAAGGCTCACAAGTTTTTCATAATGTAAATTTATACCTAAACCTAGCAATGTAAACTGGGTAGGAAAAAGCTGAGCCTGTTAGGTCTGATGTTATTTGTACCGAAAACCTAACTTAATCCAATGTAACCTCTAGCATGTTAATAGACACAATATGGAAATTACAATAAATTATTACGGTAATGTTTTTTCAAAGAAACAATATTTTTAAAATATGTCAAAATAAAAAAAATAAGTGTGTAGTGCAATAAGGACATTATCATGTCTTTTACTAGGCTCCCAAGAACCCACTAGGGAGCAAATATTAAAATTTCTGAGAAATATGTTTTTTTTTAATGAAACTATCACAAACTAAGTGTAGGAAAATTTATCTATCATAGATTCAAATGAAATCTATAAAAATTAGTTCTATATTTTTATTACTTCTCTCACCTGAGTTATCTTCATCTGCCTTATTCAAGTCTTCATCTGGGGATGTAAATAGCTGAGTCTCTAAATTATATCCTTGACAACTTTCAGCAAACTCTTCCTTAATTTTAGCTTTTAGTTCCATTTCTAATAAATACAAATTACATCACATTATTTAACTCTTAATGTTTACTACAAGGTTATAAGGTAAAAACTCTGGATCCAATGTTTACTACTTGTCTTACCTGAGTTATCTTCTAGTTCTTTTTTGAAGTTGTTCAGATCTGTGGATGTGGATGGCTTGCTCTCTATGTTTTTTTGGTTACATTCAACAAAATGTTCCTTAATTTCAACTTTAAATTCCATAGCTAACCATAAACGAACTGAATAAATGTATCTTACAATATATTCCTAAAGAATTATTTTAGCTTTGCTAATAAAGAATATTGATATACAGATATATTATATTGATATATTATATATACCGCGCTGTGACAGTATTTATTGTTTATATTCGTATCCGTATAAATCATAAATCGTATTCATAGATTCGTGCTTCGTTATATGGAATCTGGAATCCAAAACACAGTATATTTGTGGTATATTGCAAAAATAAAAAGGAAATTGCACAGTTTAACCACAAATTATACTATGGAAATGGTATGTTCAATCAAAGAATATAAACGCTTATCAATCTTCGATCGTTCAATCAGTTCGAACAAAGCGTTCGTAATAGTGGCGCTGCCAGCGCTGCTGAGTGCTGCGCCGCTGCTGGCGCTTGGCGTCGCGCAATAGTACAGTGAATGAAGGCAAAAATCAACTATTACCTTCGATTTCGGTGAACCTCCATCGATTTGCATGAAAATTTGGGATTGAGTCTATTTTACCCTCAACTTCAAAAGTGACAAATGCACAACTTTTGCATTTTAGGGGTGAACTCCACTCCTTTTGTTAAAAATGGTAAAAATGCAGATTTAAGCATTCTGGCATAAGTAATCTCGATTAATCAAATAAAATAAATATTTTGCAACATTTATAATCATGATTTATGATATATCAAATCGCATATCTATTAATATTACCCAAATAGTTTATTTAATGTGTATGATATAATTTTTGATTGAGTGTGAAATTTCAACCCTGAAAAACCAACCCTTAAAGCAGAATATTGAAAAAATTAATCTCAAGAAACTTTAATTAGGTATTTGAATAATACATTACTGAATTGAAATCTCATTTACTGAGTATTAAAGTATTTATTTATTTATTGCGTAATTTTGCACCCTTAAAAACTACCCCTATTGTCATAAAAATAATGGAAAATGTTTTTTATTACCTTTAGTAGCTTTAATCATTTAGAAACTTTTTTATTGGTTATGATAAACTTTATTAATATATTCCAAACTTTATTAATATTATTCCTTCCACATTTCCTAAACAATTTTTTCAGTGCGCTTATGTGACTTAAAAAAATTAATTTGTTAGTTAAGAGGAAAACGTATTTAAATAAATAATAAAATATATGAAAAGTTCATTCATTTTTTATTTAAGTAATGTTTCATAAATTAATCAAATATTAATAGTACTTTAATTGTTAATTTTTCACTCTTCATAAGAGCTCTCTTTCTCAATTTCTCCTTTTTCATTAATTGGATTGCTATTTTGGGAATTGTCCCCACTACATTATCCGCAAACTGCATTGCAAAATAACCCTACTCTTCGACACCCGCAAAACGGGCCGCACCCTTTTTGCATTATATCTGTTGACATGATACTAAGACTTCCAAGATAAACCCACTATGTTTTTGAGCAAATATACAGAATTTCTTTCACTAGCATCTTCTATCTTCAAAATACAGGGTGTTTCAAAAAGGTATGTCTTAAATTAAATCATTCATTTCGGGGACAAAAATAAATTGATTGAAGTCAACTTACCTTAGTACAAAAGTGTACACAAAAAAAGTTACAGCCCTTTGAAGTTACAAAATAAATATTGTTTTTTTGCATTATCTTCTAAACTACTTGACATTTTGTAATAAAAATGGATACTTTACTTCCTTGTTCTGAAAGCATTTTTCATACAGAAAAATTTCTCAATATTTCCGCAAGACCGGGAGCCCATTCTGTCTCTGGCTTCTATATAACATGTAGCTTCTCCTTTTTAAAAATTTTTAAAGTGTTTGTTTGTCTTTGTGTATTGCATTGTTATGTCCAAATTTACATGTATGACATTCTACTCATGTCGGATAGGCCACAACTGACGAAATGCCCCCGAAGATGATCTATTGATCGAAAGTACTTGGGCAAGATTTAATTAATCACTGTGTTCGATAGTTGCCTTGTATACTATCAAAGTTTAATTATTCGAACATTCAACCTTATATTGAAATTAATAAATGTCTAAACAACTGACACCGGGTAGGGTTTGAAGCCATAATCTAAGCGATCCGTGCCTATGCTCTAACTAACTCAGTTATCTACCATGCCCCACGGAAGTCAATCTGTTTCTTAATAAACGTTTGCATTTAATAAGCTTACATGTGCTAAAACATGGTTAAAACAAAAAAAAAAACAAATTATTGACATAAACTTGACTGTATTTTAAAGAACATTATCTGCCTAGAAAGGAATTGATGACCCCTCACCATATAGGAAATGGAAATCTTAAAAAAGACTGGTATGTGGGTAAAAATCCATATACAGGTATCGAGGGCACAGATTCTTTAGGTGATAAGATAACAAATCATAATCCACTTATTAAAGAAACTTAAATGTTGTTAACAATCTTAGCTCTACTTTTATATAAAAAAACTAACTTGGAAAAATAAAGAATAGGTAAAAAAGCAGATAATCAAAAGAAGTTATTTTAAATTAAGGAGATATCTACTTAATAAATACATTAATTTACCAAAATAAAGTAGTAGGTACATAATATATGTAATTGGTAATAAGGTAATAAGTATATTTTTTTACATGTCCACTTTTTCCAGCAGCTATTAAAAGATTGTGGTATGTCTACCGAATTTTGTTTTTTCAGGAAGAAATATTTGTAATTCCTTTTTGCGAAAAGATATTAGATGCTTTTCGGTTTCACTTTTCGCTTTTCTAAATATTTCGGTATTTTGTTTACAACGGTAAGCGACAATTATCTGTTTTAATTTGTCTCGTTACTTTTAAATATTAGCCACGCTCTTTCAGCAAATTTTGTTTAACAGAATGATCTCATCGCACACTCAGCAGAAACAATTTTTAGTCTTAGGCCGATAAGATTTGTTTATTTATATTCCTCCTAACTAAATTATAAGGTGACATATTTTTAAAATAATTCGATACGATATTACTGTCAGCGTCGTAATGCAAGAAGATTATTTTATTATTAGAGGGCAGCTATTCTCAAAATCTGGACAATTAATTTCAGAGCGAAAAAGTCATCTGCTGGAAAAGAATGTACAAAATATTTTATTTTTACATTGTAATAATTATGACCTCTGAGCACGTGTCAAATGTGTTTTTTAATAAATATTTTGATTTGGTACGTATGTTTATGGTATTGTTCGTAATGCGCATAAATCCAATTTTTTAAATTTTTATTACATATTTTTGTGCTTCTCATAGAGTCTTTAAGCATATACGCGAACTACTACACGACACTCAGTCCTAACTGCAAGACGCAAGAGTCTCGCAGGCTTAGTCTTGTTCTTGCACAATCTTGCACGGTCAGTCTTGGTCTTGGTCTTGCTAAAATTAGGCGGTCTTGGTCTTGCGAAAACGCAAGAACAAGACAAAGACTGCAAGACCAAGACAGATTTTGGGCAACACTAAGTACAACGATAATTCGTCAAATGATAGTTTCGAATTAAAAGAAGAAAGGCTAGATACAGAAATTTCTAAGAGCGATTACATTGTTACCAAAGTTTTTGGGAAAAAACGTGTTAGAAACGTGGATCAAACATATTGTGAGGTCAGATTCTTAAAGAAAAATATACCATCAAATAGATTCAGTTTCACTTCTGTGCCTACAGCTACAGTGAGTGTTACTGACATTATAGTAGTTCTACCCACTCCAAGTAAAGATATTAGAGCAAAATATGAGGGAATGAATTATTTTAATACAGGTTTATCACAATACAATTTACATTAATTATTAGTATTATATCGATTTTGTAAGCGTTTCTGAAATAGAAGAAAGATGTAACTTGTCACACACTGTTCATACACAATACAAAGAATCCAAACGCTAATTTAATAATTAAATTACCACTTCAAATATGTAGAATACAATAAAAATAATTGTATAAATTACAACAATTAATAATATTTTTCAATATATTTACATGGAGATACCATACCTAATATGACAAGAGTAGACAAAACGAGTCTGTTGCGAGTAGCATGTGCCTACAAAACTGTATCTGTGGCAGCCTTTCGGACTATCGCGGGTTGTGTTCGCAGTAAAAAGAAGACATCATAAAAAAAGAAGAAAGAGAAAGATCAATGGAAAGATGCTAAGAAGAGTGGAACAACACAGAAGATGTTGCCCAGTGGACCAAGATGCTAATCCCGAGCCTAAGGGACTGTGTAGATTGTCTGTTTTAGGGCATATCTTTATAGGTTTAGAAAGACAGATACAGATAAACGCCTATACTGCGAATATTCCGACACGTTACTTACACAATGCTGAAGTGTAATAGATGTACAGTGTAGAGATACAGAATGTATAGAGAAATAGTTGTGAACCCTATGACTGTGAGAGATGATCGTGAAGATGACGAGAAGTAAGGAGGGATGGAATAGAGTTCACAGTTACAGACAGTAATTAAAAAAAAGAAAAGAGAAATGGGCCATTATTTTATTTTGGGACCTATGCTGAATAGATTTCACAAAAAAAATATTTTTCAAATATGTTATCTTTTGTTTATATGTCATACTGTAGTAGCAAGATTATTATTTAAAATATATATTACAGCTATTTGCAGAGATGGTTTTTAATTTTTTCTGATTTTATTTGATTGTTATATTAGGCGGGGTACAGAAAAATAACAACTATCTCACTTTCTAACAAAATTAAGTTTTATTGTTAGTAACAACGATTATCTCAAACATAAACCTATTACATGAACATAAAATAGGAGACCTTTAATCATATAACATTAAATCATGCAAAATCTCGGTCTGTTATCTTACTTTACGGTTAAGTTTACCACTTTGTTACCTAATTTTGATTGAAGTCGTTTTAATTTTTCAAAATATGAGAAAATAATTGCAGTTTAAGCATACAATTTATGGAGGCAATTCAAATACTTCAAATAATCAAAAAACGAATAAAAGTTGAATATCTTTAAAAGTAGGTTTAGTAATATACCCATTAACGTCTTCCAAAAATAAGGGACAAAAAGTAACGCAGTAGTTTGATGAGTAACATAGTGGTAAACTTTTCCCATCATGATATTTTTATTTGCCTTAAACTAATAAAAACAGAATGACAATAAAAATAAAATATATCAAATCAAACAAAACTTCTTTGAGAATAAAAAAAATCAAAACCTCTCAAATTAATAATCATAAACAATATACATTAGTCTTTGTCTGTTCAGTCTCATTTTTCAAATACATTTAATGGCACATCAAATTCGTAAAATTCACGTTTACCCTTCTTTGTTATTTTAGGATTTGGTACAATTTCTGTAATATTTTCATATGGTTCATATGAA